TTGTGATCAATGGTCGCATCGTAGCTCTGTCGCGTATGGCTTTTGCCACGATGCTTTCAGCATCAGCCAAAGGGTTTTCAGAGTTGAGTCTCAGCTTCTTGGGGACATCAGAAAGGGAGATTCTCGAGTATATGATGCTAAAGTTGCAAAGTCCAGTGCTAGGATATTTTGATAAAAACTTAGCTTATAGCAATGAAAACACGAAATTAACAAATTAACACCATTCCGCTTAAGTGAACGTGATTTAAACCTTGGATACACGTTTCCGAATCAGCTTTAGGCTATGCCATAAGAACTCAAATCAGAATATACAAAACGAAAAATCATAAAACTTTGTGAGACTCGAAATTTAGCTAAGAGATTCACAGATCAATATCCAAAAGAATCAGGAAACGGAATTGCAAGATCATCAAGTGAGTGAACTAACCATCTTTGGAGGAATCAAGAGACAGCAATTATAGCTGCGTCTGCAACGATAGAGCGGTCTTGCCAGTTGATTCACCAATTTATTTTCCATTGAATGATGAGAGTGGAGAGCGTGGATGAATATAACGTTGTGAAGATTAGGGATTTGAAACAGTTGTGTGCCTTTTGATTGCTCCAGTAATGATTTTGGGTTTATTAGTGATTGTTGTGGGGTGAATGTATTACAGAAGGGAATCGTAACAGGTGAGAATTGTAAAGAGTCACTGATGAGAATAAGGAAGATGAAGACGATGGAACTATGAAGGCGGAAACTTCGATCCACACGACGGCGGTATAGCAATTAGAAAACATATGTACACCAACTTAAAGAAGAAGCCCAATGTTTGTAAAAGACAACCCAAAACCGAAACAACTGCCCCATTAAGATGCTGAGTACGGAAAAACGATTGATGAAGAATTAGGAGGTGACAGGTGGCAAAAAATGCCCCATGCACATTGCTGAGGTGGATGATTGTGGAGAGACTAAAGTCAACTTTATTATATAAGATTACACGAACTTGAACTCCAACTAGTTGTTGGTTTTGGTTTTTGACTATAGAATCTTTTGTGCTTTTACTTCTATATCCTTTTCCCGTTGACCCTATGTATATTGACTTTAACCATGATAAACCGTTAAAAAGAGAATAACCCAACTTTTAGTACTCACTGAATTGAGTCAAGTGGTTCGTGTATCACACGCAAATACCACTGCTTTTTTTTACAAAAATACCACTATGTTATTAACATGCAGAATTGCAAAATCTAGTATTTAGTTACCTAATAATTACAGATCTTTAAAGATAAATACAAATTGTTCAATTCAAGATATATGACTTTTCGTATTTATCTTGAATGAGACTTTTAAGCCTAACACACAAATATTGTAAGATTATTTTAATATATTGATTTTTCTAGAATACGATTTATATTTTTTCTAAAAAACAATATAGATATATCTGTATTGTTGTTAGGGATGATAACAATGAATGAATAATAACACACTAGGATAAGACATGCATCTTTCGCAGGGTGAATGTATGTAATTAAAATATAAAATTTTAGTATTGAGAAATTTAAAATTTACATAGGATTATTTTATATGTATTTAAAATTTTAAAATTTTTATATAATTATCTATACGTAGGATCAGAAACAATTTTAATTAGAAATGTAGATCAAAGCTTAGAATTTAATGGACCCGATTTCATATATCTTTTCACTTATTAGTATTCGAATGATGGAAAATAAACGGAGTGACATTAGGCTTGATTGATAGAGTATTATCAAGTTTTCTAATGCTTTCTTAAGAAGCAGTTGGTAAAATATTTGTATTTAAAATATATAAAGTTTCAAAACTAATTTAATATAATTTATTTATTTGTCTAGTAATATTAGAAAAATATATTTTTACTAATTAATTAAAAATCAATTTATAAAAAAATTAAGTTAAATTTTAAATTACTTTGAAAAACAATATCTTAAGTTTTTCAAATACAAATAAATAATTTAAAATTAATTATGGTCATGATTTAACATAACTATAATGATTTAAAAAAATTAAAAATTAACAAATTAAAAATTAACCCAATTCATGGATTGTGCGAAGTTATTGGCGTTTAGCAGTGGAAGCAACAACAACAAGGGAGTGAGAGTAGTGAGAAGAGAGCTTTACAAAAGAAGTACTCCAAGGAAAAAAGGTTCGTTGTGGCTATGATCCCCCAGTCAAATCTTTGTTGACCGGAACCGACTATGCTTAAGAGTTATAAGACCCCATCACCATGAAAAAGAAGATGAAATAATCTACTACTAGATATGGCGGCTTTTCATTAGATTTAAAGTTTTGTATAAGTCTAATGAATTACTTTGAAAACAAACATATTCTCTCTTCTATTGAATGAATCCAAATACTTCTTTCTTATAAAAAAAAATTGTAAATTAATAAGAAGTGTTGATAGAAATATTAGGTAATTCCGTGGGTTTTATTTTAGGAAATCATGCGAAATAATTAGAGTGAGGAGCAATTGGCTCTGTTAGTTCTTGAGCACTAACTATTTTTTTTCACTATAGCTAGAATTCTCGATCGTTCCATTTGGAAGATTTCCTCCAGCAACAACATGAGTATTAACAATGTATGACCAAACGATCAAAAGCCTATTAACCTTTGTTTGATCCATATGTCGGAAATATATGGATCTCTTAACATAAATCCCTAATCACAATTTTTTTTTTTTGATCAAATCCCTAATCACAAGATCTTTAACCATACAATGGGATTCATCTATGTATCTCTATAATCTCAATATCTGCATGAAAATATATAATAAATTAGTGAACCGAGGTTATTAAACCAATTTTTACAAAATCTAACTGAATTAACATTACAAACCAGAACTAATACATAACTTTAGTAATGTAATTGTAGATAACATCACTAAACCGAATTTTATATATTATATGAATTAGATACAATTTTAAAACCATTCAGTTTAGCTGATATCCCCTATATATTATTTGCAAAGTGATTTTGCCACGTGTCCTCTCTACAATTAGTTTCACAAAAAAAAGGTGACATGTCTACTAGAATTGATGACATGTCATATGATTAAATATGACATGGAAAATTGAATTTAATGTTAACTAGATTTTGACCTGCGCAACCGCGCAGGTGTTTATTTTCGTTTATAGTTAGTTATATAAACATTTTTCTTTCACTTGTAAAATTGATATATATTATAGTAATCACATATTTACGATAAGTATAGTAAATGTTTTTCAGACATAATATTATATAATACGTGTTTTAATCAAATAGATATATATTTTTGGAAAACTTTATAAAATATGGTAACAACTCATATATTAGATTTGATGTCGATTTATATTTTTGGAAATATTTTTAAAATATGGTAATAACTCATAAATCATCATTAAAATAAATATATTCAAATATGGCATTATAAATTTCGAAAATATCATTTAATTATATATTTTAAAATTATAAAATTTTATTACAAATTTTTCAAAAATATATATTTTTTGAAAATTATTAAAATTTAATCGTAAAATTATTAATTTCTTATATTTACAAATTTAATAAATATTGTCTAATTTTAATTTTTGATAATTATAAATTTTTCTACAAATTTATTTAATATATTTAATTAAAATAAATAGATAAAAAATCTATCTAAGACTATAATTTTAAATATATACATGCATATTCTTAAATATAATTTAAAATAAACAAAAATATTTTTCTATTATTTTTATGTTTAATTAAACAAAATTTTGTATTAAAATAGTGATAAGAAAAAGAAAATTTATAATATTAATAAAATTTTAATTTTAAACATAATTTGGAAAATTTTATAAAATATGGTAGCAACTCATATATTAGATTTGATGTCGATTTATATTTTTGGAAATATTTTTAAAATATGGTAATAACTCATAAATCATCATTAAAATAAATATATTCACATAGCGCATTATAAATTTTGAAAATATCATTTAATTATATATTTTAAAATTATACTATTTTATTACAAACTTTCAAAAATGTATACCTTTTTGAAAATTATTAAAATATAATCGTAAAATTATTAATTTCTTATATATTTAAAAATTTAATAGATATTGTCTAATTTTAAATTTTGATAATTATAATTTTTTCTACAAATTTATTTAATATATTTAATTAAATAACTAGATAAAAAATCTATCTAGGAATATAATTTTAAATATATACATGCGTATTCTTAAATATAATTTAAAATAAAGAAATTATTTTTTGATTATTTTTATGTTTAATTAAACAAAATTTTGTATTTAAATAGTGATAAGTAAAAGAAAATTTATAATATTAATAAAATTTTAATTTTAAACATAATTTATCTTGTATCTATTAAAAAATATTTAAATTTTTTTTTACTGCACATGGTGCAGGAGAACACCTAGTATTAATTGTGAATATATAGTAATCGAAATTTATATTAATTTATTCTTTTCAAACAGGAAATCAATGACTATAGATTTTCTAATGATTTCGTTAGACATAGCATTAAAACAAGATACGTGGAATCTGTTTTTCATTTTTGTATTCTTGTAAAATTGGCCTGCACTGCAAAGTCAAAGGAGCAGAGAAATGCTCAAAGAAAGTGCCCTCCCATGTTCCTCCCTCTCTCTTTTCTCCCCATCTGTCTAGGCAAATCAGTATTCACTAGTTTAATGAAACTTATCCTAGAAAATCAAAACATAATCAAAAATTTAAAACCAAATTTTCTCCTATGTGTATTTTCGTGGCACTCAAGAAAGCATAATTAGTATTAATACTATCACGATGAAGCAGTTTTAATCAAATGAGATGACACTTACTTAAAGTACAGCTACACAACGTGATGGTCTCAACTAAACATTTCCACCCATCAAAAATCAAATCAACACACATGTAAGCACGAACATTCTCCATATATATATACATAACACACATACAAACGTGTAATACACATTCTCCTCTCTTAAACACAACAAAAAAAATGGGAAACTCTTTGAGATGCATCTCACAAGACCAAGAACAGAACCAAAAGAAACCCACCGTCGTCAACGGAGAAGGAGAGAGTAGCAACTCCGAGAAACACGTGCGTAGGCTATCTCTAATACCATCTTTCCGTCGCCGGACTTTACTACCATCCCTCTCATGCGCCGGATCATCAACCTCTGGCTCGTCCACGTCCAAGAAAGGAGGAGCTGGGGTCAAGACTAAGAAGAAGATCAGAGAAAGACACCACCAAGAGCATCATCACAATGATCACGAGAAAGACTCACGTATCCAAGAACAAACCTTAGCTGCTACTAATGTCCTCTTTAGCCAGACACCTCGTAACAGCAACTCTGCTCCTCCTTTTAGACGGTCTACCTCCGTTGTGTATCCATCCTCTCAGCCACCTCCTTCCGCCGTGGCTGCTGTTACGGGTTCTGTTTCTGGCGTCCTGACTCCTAAGAAGTCTACTTGTGGATTCGTGAGAAGCTCCAGCAATAGGCAGAGAGCAAGCACGGATCCTGTTCTTAAACCTAACCAGCTTCTAGACAAGGCAAGCACATTTGATTCAACATATATTGTTTATTTATAATTAATTATTTATTATTCAAACTCATAATTCTATCAAGATACATATTTTCTAACAGTAACATGCGGAACAATTACAGTACGATTCTAATAATAACAAAAACGTATAAATATATAGATAATTTTGCTAATATTAGCTGCAATACAGTTTCATTTGTTATCATCTGAAGCCTTGCGTAGTTGCGTATATACATGATTGTTAGTTGATCAGGACTAAAATAAAATAAAACAAAATTTAATTAGAAAAATCTTTTTGTATAGAAGATGAGTTATAGACCAACACGTTGTAATTTTCTAAATAAAAGTTGAATAATTCCGATCATTTTTACAGCCTCAATTAAAGATCTAATATGCAAATATTTATTTGTAAAAGTAATTAGATTGAACATAAAACGCAAGTCAAAATAGTTTGATGTCTAAAGTGGAGGACCGGTCCTAAAATTTTGGAATTCGTCGATTTTTAAAAAATTTCAGTTGAAATTTCGGATAATTTTTACAACTTTAGAAGTTTAAAATATGATTTTATCACTTTTTTTTATTTGTCACACATATATTGAGAGCTGTTATATAATACTAACCATACTATATGAAAAAAATGGATGGACGTACAGGAGCTGAAGGTGGAAGGTGCGGATACGAAGCGGTTCGTGTTGGTTCATGGAGGAGGATTTGGAGCATGGTGTTGGTACAAAACCATAACGCTCTTAGAGAAACATGGCTTCCAAGTCGACGCCGTTGACTTGACCGGTTCTGGTGTCAGCTCCTTCGACACCAACAACATCACCAGCCTAGCTCAGTATGTCAAACCTCTCCTCCACTTCTTCGACACCCTGAAACCCACAGAAAAGGTCTTATAGCTCCCTTAAAATATCATTTTTTTTCTAATTAATATAGATGTTAGTTAATTTACTAAACAAGATTTTTAATTGATGGGTGCAGGTGATTTTAGTGGGACATGATTTTGGAGGAGCATGCATGTCTTATGCCATGGAGATGTTCCCTTCTAAGATCTCTAAGGCTGTTTTCATCTCTGCTGCTATGTTGGCTAATGGCCAAAGCACCCTTGATCTTTTCAATCAACAGGTTTTTTTATTTTATTTTATTTCATAATCATCAAATCTCTAAATTTATACTTTGCTAAATAACTATATATTGTGCCTTTTTTGTCTTCTAATTAGAACCATTTTGATTCATTGTGTGTGTTATTCAGCCTGAATCAAGTTATGAGTATGATCTAATGGAACAAGTCCATCTATTTCTATACGCCAACGGCAAAAAGAACCCACCAACAGCCGTTGATTTCGACAGATCTTTGCTTAGAGATTTCTTCTTTAATCAGAGCCCTCCAAAGGTATACATAAACACATAAGCTAGCACCAACCGGTACAATTCGGTTTGACTAAACCAGAACAATCTTTTGGGTACAGGATGTTGCATTGGCGTCGGTATCCATGAGACCGATCCCATTTGCGCCAGTGGTGGAGAAGCTACACGTGTCAGAGAAGAATTACGGTTCAATCCGACGGTTCTACATCAAAACCATGGAAGATGATTACGCTGTACCGGTTTGTCTACAAGAGGCTATGATCAAATCAAACCCTCCTGAACAAGTATTCCAGCTCAAAGGCTCTGATCACGCTCCCTTTTTCTCTCGTCCTCAGTCCTTGAATCGAATACTCGTCGAGATTTCTCAAATACCTTCCAAGAAATCTTCATAAACATGTTACCGGTTATGTCAAAACCAAACCGTACCGGACATAGGATCCCGTATACTTAAAGGTAGAGATTGTCGGATTTGACTTTTTGGAGTTTGCCGCAGAGATATAAAATCCCATTTGCCATACTTTTTCATTATTTGTAACTTTTTATCAAACAGTATGCTTTATTATCTTGAACAACTATTAATTAATGCAAAATATCAGAAAGGTACAGTTAATTAGTGGAATACACACAGTAATTACTAGAAAAAGTTAAGTTATGTGAACAAAAAAAAGGTAAGTTAAGTTAATGATATTTAAAGAACAAACGACACCGGTTACTAGAGTAGTTTGTTCTGTTGAATGGACGAGCCAGCTAAACGTTACCTGAATATTTTAATTTCTCATATATTTTTTTTTTGACGTTAAGAATATGTGAATGTGATAATGTTTTTGTATGAAAAATGAAGAAGAAAATTAGGTGTGGAATTTACCATATATATATATATATATTTTTTTTGTTGGTAGTTGCCGCTGAGATATGAACGAGAAAACCATATGGAAATGCAAAATATCAGAAAAAGTGGTTGACAAAAAAAAAAAAATCAGAAAAGTGAAATCAATTAGTGGAGTACGATATTTTAAAAAACAAAAATGACACAGATATAGACAGTGATTGTTCTGTTAAATTGACACACCAGCTAAGCGTTACTTTTAAAAATAAAATTGTTATTTTTTTGTTAGATTTGTTCTTTGCCTTTTAATTACATGTAGAGAAATAGATTCTTGAAGTAAAAGTAAGGTGTAGAAATATCTCACGTGTGTTACAAAAAGAAATCTTTCTCTCAGCTTTTGTGTGTGCCCCTATAAAATCATATCACATGCATCTTGCTTTCTCCCACTAACTCTTCTCCTCTCTCTGATCAAAGCAATCCTTAGATCTGTTTCTTATAAGAGTCGTCGCAGGTAAATGTTTCAGATTAATTAATTAGCTTCTTGCAAGAGGTCATCGTGTTGTTTTACGTGTTTGATTGTTTATATATATCTAGGTTTAGATGAAGATCTAGTACTGGCTCTATGTTTCACCAGACAAATCTTTTGTATAGAATATGATAACTTTTTTCTCATATGTTCTGAATCACAAAGCTAAAGTACCTTTCAGAGAAGCAAGGGAGAGAGATAATGGGACGTGGAGTTAGTGCAGGTGGAGGGCAGAGTTCTTTGGGATATCTTTTTGGGAGCGGAGAGGCTCCAAAGACAGCTGTTAATAATGCCCCAGCTAAAACTCAGCCTCCTCCATCTACTACTACACAACCTAAAACCGTTCCTCCAAAACCTGTTGATATTACAAAACAAGGACCAGCTGGTCTCAATAGCAACTCTGCAAACAATTACATGCGCGCAGATGGACAGAACTCCGGCAACTTCATCACGGTACGTTTCCTTTTCTCTCTCTTTTATTTATAGAAATGGTGTAAAGAACAGACACTGGGATACTGCGTACTACCTCAATGAATCAGGTTGTATAGGCTGGTGATTGTATATCAAAAGCACATTTTTGTCTTTTCGTGTCTTAGATTAGCTGTCTGAAGATGAGGACACCATAATGAGGCCTTGCGTTAAGTTTTTGTGCTTGATATGCAGGAACGGCCTTCGACCAAAGTTCACTCAGCTCCAGGAGGTGGCTCATCTCTGAATTACCTCTTTGGTGGTGGTAGCAACTAGCAAACGAGGCAAACTGTGTCACTCTCTCTATCTTCTTAATTAAACACCCCAAGTCTTCCTTTTCTCATTCTTGTGTAACCTCTTGTTCCCTGGCAAAAACTATCTCCTAAATATTCGTATAGATATGTGTTTCATATGTTGTATTTCGTATTTCAAACACAACACTGGTGATTATATATCACATTTTCAGTTTTCCATTGATTCTGAAGTATATCAAAACTTTGTTCTACTGCAGAAATATTGTGAGGATAATAAATATGCATAGGCGTGCCGTTTTGAAACCAGCCCAAAACATGCCAAACCGAACTAAAATTTAGTTTTCTGATTTGTCTGAACCGATCGACTCATTTTTGAAACTAATTAAGTTTTTTTTTTATTCAGTTTGGAAAATCAATTATTCATATACCAAATATTTTTTATGTGAACCAACTTAGATAATTAAAAAAAAACACACTTATTCGAATAAACTGGATTTAATCAAAATCAAAACTATTAGTTTGGTAACGAATTAAAAACTGAGTTAAAAACTAAACCACACCGTATTTTCGATTTAATTATATACTAGGTGATTTTCCCGTGTTCATGCACGGACATAAATATTTATAAAATAAATATATTATAATAGTTGATTGATATTTACTTTAAATTTTATATTAATTTATAGTTTGTATGTATAATTTATATTAATAATATTATATTATTTTAGTTATATATAATTTTAGATATATTATATTTAGTCAGTTGTATCATTTGGATATATATATATTGGATTCTATCTATTTCTCTGAATTTAACTATAACTTTTTTACTCTAATTTTTGATTAATTGTTTTATTTACATTTATGTTGGTTGTTAAACTGAAATTTATTTTAAATAATTTTAAAAATAAGGAATTCTGATTTGCTTAAGTATTTTGATTATGTTTATATTAAATTCCACAAACATAAAAATAGAAAATTAAACATCAAAAGAGTTATTAAGAAAACAAATAATTTTAACTATTAAAATATTATATATATACTTCGTTAAATTATAGTGTTATGATAATTTAAAAGAATTGTAGTTATTTGATCAAAGATGTTTATTATCAAATTTATTTTTAGTTTTGTTTTTAACATCTCTTAAAATATGCAGTAAAAGTGATTGTTTTGAGAAATTATATAAAATATAATTTATATTTTTTCTGTAATTGTAAGATATTATAATCAAATAAATATACTAAAAATATTTTCATAATACTAATTATAATTGTTTTTGTCAATTATACATATATCAGTTTATGTTACTTAATTAATTTATGTAATCATCTAATAAAATAGCTAGATATATTAAAAATAATTACTTTGAAAATATATATTTTATTGTTTAAATTATTTTTTAAAGAAAAAATATTTCTTTTTCTAATATCAAGATTATTTGTATGAATTTTTTTTATGAAAACACATTTTATTACTTAAAAATTATAATTTATGTTATTTAAAAATATATTTAAGTTAAATATTACTATTTTGTAAACTTTCCTTTTTTATGAAACTATAATATATATATATATATATATATTCGTTTTAAATAGTTTTGTAAATTTTATAGTATTTCCTTTTTATAATTTATGTTATTTAAAATTATATTTAAGTTAAATATTACTATTTTGTAAACTTTCCTTTTTTTATGAAACTATAATATATATATATATATATATTTAATTATTTATTCGTTTTAAATAGTTTTTAAAATTTTATAATATTTCCTTTTTATTTTATATTGTTATTTGGAAGAGTTTTAAAAAGAAATAATAATATTCAAATATATTTTTAATTCATTAGGGGTATCATAGTAATTAACCAATGTGAGAGTTAACGTGAATGCGACACCTAAGAAACTGACCTCTCAAATAATATTATAGAGATTTTTCGAATCAACCGGAAAACAGAAATACCCCGAATTAACCGGTCTAATCGAGAACCGTATGCATATAATTATAACCGGAGCTGAATGTAAACGGAAGTACCAGACAAATAATATTCCAGCGTGGAATTTTCGCTTTTAATAAATTGCGTTAATATTATATTTCCCCAAATAATCCCACCACGAGCCCGCACTCTCCACTCTGTCACCGGCGACAACGCCATGGATCCAAACTCGCCGAGATCTCGTCGGACCCGAAAACCCGATCCGAAACCCGACATCTACTCCACCTTCGTAGTCCACTCCGACTCCGATTCCGATCCAGACACCACCACCACCACCAATCGCAAATCCAAACCCGACGAAACCGTCGATTTATACGCCACAACCGTCTACAAAGGCGACGATGAAGAAGACGAAGAAGACGACGATTCCTTCCTCCCTCCTCTCCTCAAACGCCTCCCCAAGGACTTCGGAGGCTACGACGACGAGGAAGACGGAGACGATGGAGGAGATTTCGGGACGATGATTGTGAAGAAGGATCAATCAAGAACAATCAGTCCTCCTAGGAAGGTAGTCGATGATGAAGAGTCTTCTTCTTCCGAGGAGGAGGAGGAGGAGGAGGAGTTTGGTACGTTTGTAGTGAAATCTTCTAAAAAGAAGAAGAAAGGGAAGGAGGAGATGGATTTGTCTACTATGGGAAGAGCGGTTGCGAGTATGCAGGAATCGAGCTTTGGCGGTGGTGGTGGGAAGAAGAATCGGTCTTCTTCTCCTTCGGATAGTAGGAGGATGAGGCAGCAGAATAGTAAGATGTCGACCACGTCTCTTCCGGATAGTATTACTCGAGAGGATCCAACCACCAAATACGAATTCCTCAATGAACTTGGTAATGTTAGGAGAAGTTAGTTAGTTTTTTTTTAAGAGGAGAAGTTAGGTTTTTGATAGATTTTGGTATTTGGCAGGGAAAGGATCGTATGGATCTGTTTACAAGGCGAGGGATTTGAAGACGTCTGAGATTGTTGCTGTTAAAGTCATTTCACTCACTGAAGGGGTATGGAAAAGCTAAGTTTTGATTCCACGGTTGCTGGAGCATTTTCATTGTGATTTTGTTTTGACAGGAGGAGGGGTATGAAGAGATTCGTGGGGAGATTGAGATGCTGCAGCAGTGTAATCATCCGAATGTTGTCCGCTATCTCGGGAGTTACCAAGGAGAAGATTATCTTTGGGTGAGCATAGGAGATTACAAGCTTCGTTATCTTATTAGATAGAGTACAAGCTAGGAGATTTAGGCAAAAGTATATGACGCCATGTGGGAGGAGGATTCCTTTGAACTTACTCTTACTATTTGGAATCAGTTTGTTTTTTATTTTATATTTTATATATAATTTTTATATCCGTTTTGGAAATACAGTCTCTTTTGTTACTAATTTGTGTATTCTGGCAGATAGTGATGGAGTATTGTGGAGGGGGAAGTGTTGTTGATGTGATGAATGTTACTGAGGAGGCATTGGAGGAGTATCAGATTGCATATATTTGTCGAGAGGCTTTGAAGGTGTCACTTTTTGTTTTTCATGTTATAGAATGGCTTGAAGCATGAAGAAGAAAGCTGATTATCGTTTCCTGTATTTGATGCTGGTGGCTTCGCTTGAGCACATCTGTTTCAACTTGTGACAGGCTTTAATACTTCTATTTGTATTTACGTCTTGTATGTAGGGCCTTGCATACTTGCACTCAATATTCAAAGTCCATAGAGATATTAAGGGTGGAAATATCTTGTTGACTGAACAAGGAGAGGTCAAGTTGGGTAAGTTAGCTGGAGAATTATATATATCTACCTCCATGAAGAGTGGCATTGACATATGTTGTTTCTATTACACATCTTTGCTTTTATGCTTTGAAGCTTGAAATCTTGCTTCGCTTTATTGCTTTGGAGTTGTTACTTAATTTTTTCTTTATTGCTTTACAGTTGAATGCTGATTCCAAAGTTCATTACCTTGATCTTTGCAGGTGACTTTGGAGTTGCGGCTCAACTTACGCGGACTATGTCGAAGCGAAACACGGTAAAGACATAATGAATATAGTTTGCTATAGTTAATTCATCAAGCTGCCTTTTATCTGTTGGGAAACTATCCTAAAAGTTTTGTGCCTGATGGTGGGATTCTTTAATGTTTTCTCTTGTTTAAAGTTCATTGGGACTCCGCATTGGATGGCTCCGGAGGTTATTCAGGAAAACCGTTATGATGGGAAGGTATGTCTTATTTGAAAATAATTAGGTCTGGTAAACTCCTTAAATTTCATCAAATATACAAAATTTCATATTATAGGACTGGTTTAATGGTAAGCTCCTGAATCTGAAAGTTGAACTTGTCGTCTACTAAATCTAGTATTATATCGCTTGAAGAAAGTAATTAGCGTTTTACTAAAATGGTTGTGCGAACCAGTTCTACCGGATCATATTTTGAGAGGAAATGTGCTCTTAATATACCAGTTAGAAACAGTAGCTGCACAAGTATTCGAGAGAGTAGAATCAAGGATTTTTTGTTTTAGTCCTTGATGACATTTGGTCTCTTTACTACAGGTGGATGTATGGGCTCTTGGTGTTTCAGCAATTGAGATGGCAGAGGTAATTGGCAGATTACCTCTCTTAGGACTACGGTATACAGTTGTGTTGTAGTTGGCAGTTTAGCTGTCCTGAGTCACTCACCTGACATACTAAGAAAAAATGAAGAAAATTCTTGTACATTTTGATTAACTCTCTTGACCCGTCGTCCCATCATTCGCGTCTTCCGTATTTCGTTCTTAATCACCCTATGATTGCCTTCTGACATTTACTCTTTCTGTTTACAGGGGCTTCCTCCAAGATCAGCAGTTCATCCGATGAGGGTTGTTATATTAAGTCATCATACTACTATTATTATGTTTCCAAGTGAACAGATTACTGATTATAGGATGAGAAAATCGATCTACAGCCATACTTTTCTTCTGGTTTTAATTTTTCGTCTCTGTTCGGAAAATTAGAATGAAGTGAATCTGGACTTGCAGCCAAACCTATAACAATGAATTGCACATTGGTTCGAGTTTGGCTTCGTATTTGGCTTCAGACCGTTCACTAACTCTAGTTTTAAGCGATTTGGGTTGGTCTGTTTTGAAACTAATACCAAGCACTTGGTTTGTGAAGTTTTCCCTGTGAGTTTAAATAAAATCTGTATAGACCTTCTATGAACTTTTTCATAAACATGTGAGTTCTTAGTCTAGGAAATGGAGGTCTTGAAATGCTCTTTAAAGGCTTTCTCTTGGTTGGTTAGTAGTGAAAAGTTAGGTTAAAGTTAGGGAATTATTCGCTTGTTTGTTTACTTGCCGGCCTATTAAATTGTTCTTCTGAGAACCCTTTAATCACATCGTGCTATTGTCGTTATTTAATATCTAGACATCCTTTTTGCTAGGTTTTGTTCATGATATCGATCGAGCCAGCTCCAATGCTTGAAGATAAAGAAAAATGGTATGTCTTCAACCTCTTGGAAATTGTCACATTGGTTGTCGTTAAGGCAGAAGAGAATTTTCTAAATCATACAACTATGCAAGCGCATTCAGTACCTTATAAGGTTGACAACGTTCATTTATAACCTAGAAGAGCTCTGAAGCATAGTAGAGGTCTTTGCAATATCTTATGCCGAATTCAGCTGTTGGTTGCCCCCCTCTGCAGGTCCCTGGTCTTTCATGATTTTGTTGCGAAGTGCCTCACAAAGGAGCCACGTCTTCGCCCAACTGCAGATGAGATGCTTAAGGTAAACTATGATAATCTTTTGCTTTACGTTAGAGATCGTTAGTATTCGTATCTCTGTTCTCTATACTCTCCTTTTCTTTCTTTCCAGCTAAATGGGACTTGTTCATGTCAATATCAGGATATGTTCAGCTTTAGTTGTCAGAATTACCATCACTTTCTTAGCTAATAAGCGGTTTAGTGTTTAAGATCTATGTGTAATTCTGATGCTATTCACTCGTTGGTTTTAAAAACAGCACAAATTCATTCAGAGATGCAAAGCCGGGGCTTCAGCAATGTCGGCAAAGATTGAGAAGTCTAGACAAATCAGAGCTTCAATGGCTCTGCAAGCGCAAAAAGTTGCCTCTTCTTCAGAGGACGCTGTATGTATTGAGTTTTTTTCTCAAACGGCCATCTCTCTCTTTTAGTTAACCCCCTCTTCTTTCCTAATATCTTTGCTAGGTATAGTTGTCTAAATTTTAGTATAATCTTGTAACAGTCAACACTGGGCCCAAAATCAAATGAAGTGGTCGGAACTACTGTTCCATATAAGCCTCCTAATAATGGATATCAAAATACCACTGGAGCACCTCCAACAAGCACCCTGAATCGGCAGGATGGAGAAGGCAAGTATTACATGCATGACTAACTATTTCCACATTGCAAACTTTAACACAAGGAATCCAGCTGATGGTGTGTTGTTGTTGTTGACTAATGATTATACTTCTCGAAACTGTTCTATGAACCTTAGCCTGTTATGGTAGTAATTTACAAGTTAGCAATTTGCATCCCCTAACCATCATGAGAATTGTTGAGTGCATTTTCTTGGCTGATGTATAGTCTCTGAAGAGAGATGTTTGATATTTGGATATGCTGAGTTTCTTCCATCATCCTTTGCCAAACGCATCTACTTTATGCTTTCACTGGTTCATGTACTCAGGTGGTGGTGACTTTGGAACTATGATCGTTCACGATGAGGATGAGGCAGACGAGAGTTACCCGAGGTCTCAACTCGCCAAAGAGAAAGAATCTTCATCTTCTAAGGTTGATCGCCCTTCTGTCGGGTTTTCCGGAGAAGAAGTAACTAGGATCCATGAAAAAAAGAATCTTCCTACCACTACTGACGTTGCGGTTGAAGCCTCAACTTCACAAAGCCTGCAGCAAACTTCATCATCTCTTGAGCATAAAAAGAAGCTCAATAACTTATCTGGAACACATACCGAAGGTGGGAGTGATGTCAGTGGCAGTACATTGAAGAGTGAAACTGTTGGCAAGAAAGCTTTTGCATTACAAGATAAGGTCAGTTAGCTTTGTACGGTTAAAAGCTCTTTTCCCTTTCCTGATATGTGGTCATGACTCTTGCGATGATTGGTAAATGGCAGTTATGGTCAATCTACGCAGCTGGAAACACAGTACCGATACCGTTCTTGAGAGCAACAGATATATCACCAATAGCACTCTTGTCAGAGAACATGATCGGAGGCATGCAACAGGATGGGAATGGAAGTGTAGCCGTTGAAGCTCTTCAGGAACTCTTCACTTCTGATCCCCAATCCAAAAAGGGAAGAAGAGGACAAAACGAGGTTCAACTTCTTCATCTCTTGAACTCTATATGACGTGATTCGTGTTTATATTAACTAAGAACATGTGTGATACAGATGCCTTTGCCTCCAAGTGTATACCAGAGACTGACGTCAAGCCCTCCTCTGATGAATCTTGCACAAGTTTTAGCCTACCACAGAGCGTACGTATATATAATATAGCCAACTGGTCTCATGTTTCTTTTTGTTTTGCTTACATCTGACTATGAAACTCATTGAATACGCAGGTGTTATGAGGAGATGCCGCTGCAGGAATTGCAAGCAACGCAGGAGCAGCAAACCATTCAGAATCTGTGCGATACTCTACGCACTATTCTTCGCCTCTAATGTTTTTTTGTTTCTGTTCATATTGTCATACACTGTTGGTATTACTATTATTTAGGTTGTCTCAATAAGTTTTTAAATTTGCTAATATGAGAAAGTGATATTTTCAAGAATTTATAAACTTAAATGTTGCAGTTGTTTTTTTTTAAATAGTTTTCATTCACATTTGTAAAAAATAAATCATTTTGTAATCTCTTGGTAAAAGGTTTAGTGGAAAAACATGACATGGTTTCTTTTGTTGTGTAATAAAATCTCCAAAACCCTAAACCCTTTTAATAAAAAGATGAGTCTTTTGTTGTGACAATTGTATAGAGGAGGCGTTAATGGCGAGATACAAAAGTCTGATCGTAGCTACTTTGTTGCGAGCTTCTCGCCGTTTAACCTCACCGGCCATCTCCTCCTCTAGGAGAACCTTCTCTTCTTCTTCTTCTTCTTTACTTTCACGGACAACAACAACATCCTTCACACTTCCTCGCCGTTCTTCTCCTTTCTCTAACTTTTATTTTTCTTCCTCCTCTTCTCCTCCTTCTCTTCGACCTCCGAAGCCCGCCGCTGTTAATGTCCACGAAGAAGACACTTTTGACTGTAAGAAAAATAAATATTATTTTCTTTGATTGCGTCTTTACTGTCTTCAAGGTGTTTGTTAAAATGTCTACTGCTTGAATTTATGTTCTTTTTTTTTAGACCAAACGATTGCTTCACCTTTGATAATGTGAATATCATTCTATTTCAATGCTTTTTGCAGTTGTTTTATGTTCGCTAAGAGCTGTGTTTAGCTCTAAATCACAAACCTTTTCACTGTTTCTTGATGTGTTACTCAGATTGATTTTGCAAATTTGATGTGATTGATTCTCTATGTTCCCTTGTCTTTGTCCTTACAAGCTGTGTCATAAGATATTGTTTGATCTTTAACCATAATGCTTTTGGCAGATAAAACAACTGAGGATGTGGAGGTCATAGATGATTGGGAAGAAGAAGACGAGGATGTTGAACCAAAGGTAGTTTTTTTCCCATCACATTGTCATTCTTCTTCTTAGATTACGTTTTTAGTTAATTTTTATTCTGTTTCACAGCTTGGGGATGGAGGAGATGGTGGTGGAATTGTTCTCAGAGGTGTGTCATGGGGTGAAAGAGCTCTCTCTATTGCTTCCGAAGTTTTGATGCAGTCTGAGCAAGATTTGCAACTCTTTGCTTTTAAAACTTCTCCTCGTGGATATATATACATCAGACTCGACAAACCCTCTCATGAGTAAATGATTCTTCACCTTTCTCTCTCTATATATGGCCATTACCAAATAAAGCTTTAAATCTTTGCTTCTTCCTTGTGTAAAGATATGGATGTCCCAGCATGGATGAGCTTGAGGAATTTAGTCGAGAATATAAGAGAAGATTAGATGAGGCAGGGGAAGCAAAAGCAATCCCAGAGGATCTAGCCCTTGAGGTATAAATAATAGTCATTTCCCTTATGAAACAACAACTGCTATCGTCAATTTGTTTCTGAAATTTGGTTCTGTATTTGATGTTACTGTGAAGGTATCATCTCCAGGAGCAGAGAGGCTGCTGAAAGTTCCAGAGGACTTGCACCGATTCAAGGAGATGCCGATGACAGTAAGCTACGAAGAGGAAACAAACTCAAGGAAAACAGTGAAGAGTACAGTGTTCCTCTTGGAGTCTGTAGATGCAGAATCGGAGATGTGTGTTTGGAAGCTAGCAGATGTGAGGGAGAACAGAGATCCGGAAAGCAAAGGTAGGCCGTTGAGTAGGAAACAAAAGGACCTGAGAATCAAACTGCCTTTCTCAGTTCACAGGATGATAACTCTCTACTTGGATTAGTTAAGCAGAAGTTTATTGCCTTAGTTTGTCTCTTAGGGGTTAACATTGTTACTTTCCCATAACCTATCTATCCCACCGGGCATATCTACTCTGAGCTCACAACCTTTTAAGGTTGAGTTTGATCATTGTGGTTTATATAGTTGATTTTTGCATGAGTTGAGATGTTGAGTGAGATAATGAAACAGCTGAAAAATTTCACAATATTAAGGACTTGTAAAGATATGAATATGGGAAGCTGACTGATCCAAAATAAAAGAATCAAATCTTATTATAAAGAGACTAATTCCAGTTTTAAAAGTGTTGCTTGATATGCAAGAAATGAAGGGTTGTAAGTTGTAACTCTTGACTCGTATGAAAGATTCAACCAAAGATAGAAATGACTCGTCATCACAACTCAAACTGATATTCACTAGAAATCCAAATCTGCAGCTTCAAGTGATCTCACATGACTTATCGTACGGAATCAACATGAAATCACCTCGAAGCTGTTCTTGCTCTCACTCTCTGAATCTTCCTCACCAACAATCCAAGCCTTGAACTAGTACTACACCCGTTGAGTTTAGCCATATTGCAAGAGAGGTCACGCACTTCTGGAGCCATAGGTGCAATGGAGCTCACAGTCACAGACACACCGTATAATAAGCCCTTAAAAGCCTGAACCACAATTAAATCACCTGCTTCCACTTCTTGAAAAACAGCCATCCTCTTCTTACTCAAATCCCGCCCAAAGACATGAGGCCCATTCAACACAAACGGAATAAGCTCAGAGTGTGCAGCACGTGCATGGCATTTGAGATCAGTGTATGAGCCACAGAGCCAGTGTCGTCACAGTTCGGTAAAGGGCAGAAGCATGGGACGAAAAAGCAGAGCGTTTTGTGGCGTGATCGGTCTCCATACGACGTGTGTTTCGTTACAACCGTGAATCGCGAGTCACGGGACTATGGAAGATTCTATGACGTTTTCCATGGCTCTGCATCGGATATTCCTAATGTGAGATCTGCAGAAACCGCATCTCTTCCTCATTGCTTCGCAGCACCGATGAACAAGCTACGTGGCCGTTAGTACACTGATGAACTTAGTCACAATCATAAATAAACAGTTAACCTCTAAGATTCATCTAAACCAAAGAGCACAGAGCTAACTACGGATAAAATAGTAAAATCACTTGTCAACAATACGGATATAAGCCATCAAAACAATGGTTAAAAGAGATTTTACATAATTATAGGGCCGGTCCTCATCACTCATCAATACGGATATCACTCATCACTCACATCTTTGAACATACTTATATTCACGACTACTGCAAATCTGCATCTTTCAAGTCATCACCACTACTCAACATATAAAAGAAGGAATCAACATGTAGCCATCGTTAGGCTCTTCTTCTTCCGATCCTAGCTACAGTACTTTCTCAATTTATTGCACCTTGAACTGGATCAGATGTTTGATAACATAACTGCTTCACATTGGCATTTACTCTCTATGCTTCGTGGTGGAAACTGTATATACAAAGAGTTTTACCAATAGGAGACAAATTTTAAATGTGGTAAGAAGAATCTGGAGAGTACGGTATTAGTATATCTGTATATGGTATGAAGACTACTTTCTTTTTTGAAGGAGTGACAGAAGAAGATGAAGCTTTTGGTGTTTTTTTTTACATGTGATACAATGCCTCTTATGTTCATAACTTTTTTTTATCACCAATAAGATGTGTTCATGTAATGAAGTTGTACATTCATTATATCATTATCTACAAATTGTCAGAAAAGAAAAAAAAAAAAGACTTGCCAAAGTAGGCATAGATATAATAAACAAGATCAGTTACAAAATCACTTGTAACAAGACTTGCCTAATCTAACAATCACACCAATCCAATAATCATCAAATCCCACAAAATAGTCAAACCATGCAGCCTTATTCTTGTGCACAACACAGTTTCAAGAAACTCAAGAATGTTGTAACCTTTATTTTAGTAGGAGCTAGGGGAAATAAAGCTCATTATATTCCTGCTTCACATCATCAGTGAAACTCCTCTGCTGTTGCTGGATTCTTTGGAGATGTGATGACAGTTGCAGTAGATCAACCGTGGATGATGAACCAGATTTGGTCTTCTTACCAGCATCTATCATCAACGGCTGCATCTGATGATAGTCTAATGTACAGTGACTAAAATTTTGGTTTGGTTGAGTGATTGAGAAACTTTTGTTTGGATTAGTTTCAGACAAGTGTTGTTGGGACTGAGCTGACAGAAGAGAGAGAGCACAAGTAGAGCGTGGCACCGCCTCTTGCAAGTCCCAAATATAAGATACACCAGAAGCTTCCATCATGTTTTGCTCTGGAAACATAGGTTCATCTTTGAAACTCACTAGTCTACTTGCACGGTGATCATCCCCATCCATTACTTTGTATAAGAAACTACCAGGAAACGACTCTGTCAAAAGACTCAAAACCAAGGAAAAGTCATTAAACTGATGAATACAAGGGGACACATAGTTAAGGCAGAGACTTTGTACCTTGAGGAAGAAGCTTATGCCGCTTACCCGGTAAGAAATAGAAAGAAGGCTTCCTTCTTCTCTCATTGTGACCAGCTAATCTTCTTCTGCAACTTCTTTTCCCATCATCAAACTCTGAGAGGAAATGAAACCTAACCACAACAAACAATCATAAACATGTAACAAAACACAGAGCCAGAGACAACTTTTAGAGTTAGAGATATGAACAAAACCTGCTACACTGTTGACAAAACCTCTGTTCAATACCGCTAACTATAACCACAGAAGTCTTAGAATGAGCCTCACAAACTCTATGCCTTTTGTGGTACTCTTTAGAAAAGCTGAGATCCATATTGCACCCATAGACTTGACATAAAGGACTCTGTGAGCACGAGTTTGAAGCTCGAGTCTTTTTAGCAGGCAGGGACGAAGTAACATCATGGTTCCCGTAATCCATAAAGCTCATAAGCTTAAAAGATTGGTTCTCCTCAACACAAGAAGAAGAAGAAGCCACTTTGGTAATGAATCCATTACTAGTTTCCAACTCAGTAAAGAGACCCTGTTCAAATCCAGGCATGGATCTTTGGTTCTCAGCAATGGTTTCATTAGGTAAGAAAACGCTTCTCCCATAGCTCCAAGAATCCATTGATCAGCAAAACTGAAACAAAAAAGTGATAAAGTTGAAATCTTTTTCGATTACAGAACCCTAAAGTTGGAAACTTTTATTTTAATTTTGCCTTGGGAGTGAGAAAGATCCAACTTTTACTTGGATTAGCACAAAACCCAGGTGTGATTGATGATTATAATCAAACCCTAAAGAATAAAGTTTAATACTTTGGATCACAGAGGAAAAAAAAAAGAACTTACCGATTAGAATAAACAGAGAGGAAGAGGGAAACTCAGAGAGATTTGGAGAAAATATAAGAAAAG